CTTTGAAATGACCCACCCTTTTAGATATAGATGTGGCGAGTGGGTGGTACAACAGAAAAGTGCATCTAAGCCTATAACCAAAAATGTTATATATATTGCATATAGTCCTTAGATGTGGTGGCTGCATTACTTTATTTTTTCAAGCTTTTTTTTCACCTGGTGATTCTGCCAGTAACACCCTTCCAGCCCTAAGATGACAATGTTCACTCACTTACTGTATCAGAACAAATAAAAACGGGACAGGATTACAAAACTTCACCCTTCTCCTAAACATAGAGGGGCATGATTCTGCAGTGCTTTATGTATGTAATGGATAAGTCAGTAGAGCGCACAGGACGTTATTACCTCAAAAGATCTCTGACAAGATCGACAGACATTTTTTGAACTTCTTAAACCGATTTAGCAAAATGTATTTAATTGTATATTTACCAGACCAAAAAGTACCAAATAAGAGAAGTACATTGTTAAGGTTCTCATACGTTCTAAGTAATTGTTTTGCGTTCATCTTCAAATATATAACTTGATCACAGATTTAAATGTTATTAAACAAAGCTGAAGGTGGGAAACAAGCTTTAATTTGTAACAGCTGTTTGTAGGTCTTTTAGAAAGGGACCATTGAGATGTTTCTTGTTTTAGAGGTTTGAAATTTGGGGTTAAAGATTCAGTGTAGTCCCAGTAAGAAAATAACTAATCTTACTTTTTCATTTATTTTTGCAGGTCAGTCTTGTGAAATTGTTAGTTCGCCAGCAATTTCCTCAAGCGGTGAGAAAAAACATTTTGCCCAAGTTTCTTTCTCTGTGGACTCTGGCATGGAAACTCAACATGGACCTGTGCAGCCACCACCATTACCCATAAAGAAGTCGATGAACAGGGCTGTTTCAGCGCCTGATAACTCTGCCTGGGGACAGGCTTTTCCATCAAAAAATGGAGTTGGTCCCAACAGTCTAAGGCTTAATCAGAGCCAATCAGAAAACAATGTTTGTGGTGAAGAAGCTGCATCGCATAGCTATCCATTAAGTCCTATGGACAGGCATGTTATGTTTTCTTCCTCAGAATCCTTGGAGCAGTGCTGCAGAGGCAGTGGACACAGAAATGAGGTCAGAAATCGGAACTGTCTTCAGAGCCGAGGAACCCCAGCACTCTCTACCTCTCAGCTGAGCGTCTCCAGCCATGCATCGTCTGCATCAAGTCTGCAGCTCCACCATCTGCTTAGCAATATAGACAGCAAAGAAGGCATGTATGCTAAGCTTAGTGGCCTTTATGCCCAGTCTACAAGGCGCTTGATGAACAAATGTGAGGATTACTTCATGTGGGACCAAAAGAAGGAACTGCATTTCAACGAGACCAGCTGGTCACTCTTTAAGCTGACAAGCAACAAGCCCTGCTGCAATGCTAGAGATGCTATTTATTATTGTGCAAGGTGTGCCAAGGACCCATCAAATAACTATGCAGTCAAGGTAAATGTGAAATGTTTGGAGTATGCAAAAGTCAATAGGCAACCGTTTGTGTACTGATTCATCATTCTCTTGCTATAAAATTTCCCTAGAGGATTCCCATGTTGGTATTCCTGTCATTGTATTTAAAGTCCCCTAACTGAACTTTATGAACCAAGCACATAATTCTTATAGGTGAGCACCTTACATGAATAGCAAGAGGAAGTCCCTGCCTGGGGACCTTCTCAGAAGATCTCTAGAGGGAATTTTGATTGTATTAGGTTTTCTGATGATCCTTTTGTAGATAGGACTGCTTCATCCCCTTGGCCTCTCCCATTTACACAAATTGTTCCAACATGCTGAAGTAGTAAAATGCATCTAATTTTTCACTACAGCGAAGGCCTTGCTTTTAATGAACATTTGTATTATAAGATTAACCTAAAAATTTATTTTCTTGCCCCATCTATTGCCATTGCATAAAAAAATGGACCCTGTGGCAACTCCAGGATCCTAATGGAGAATGAATATGCTTTGTATGCTGTATAACAAAAGGTTTTACACGTGATAAAGTGAAAATTTTGTAAGAAATGATCAGTAGTATCCCAAGTAAATCAGAACAATGAATCTTTTGTGTTACATTTCTAGGGTTTTCTAGCATTACGTTTGCACCAAGGCCGATAATTATGATTTTAGACTCAAAGAAACCCAATCTGACCATTGCCTAGGAGAATATTCACAAATGGCTCAACAACCTATAAAATGCAATATTTCATAATGGAAATGGCCCTTTTCAAATGTGTTTTACATGTAAATCATGGAATTGTCATTATTTAATAAAACAATTATAAAGAGTATAGCAGTTGTACAGTTATAGTAAAGTGCCCAGTCAGCTGAATCCTGTAGCCAGGTATGTTTTTAAACTTGATTTATTACTGGCAGCTGTACTTTGTTCATTCTCCTTTTTTTATTCTTGCACTATTCAATTTAATAAGACTGATTTGATTATATTGAAAGCCTTTTCAACTGGCTTCACATCTGCTAATCCTTCTACCCTAATGGCAAACATTTTTGTTGTGTTTTCATTTGCAGATGTGTAGGGCAGAAGAAACAAACGTCCCTTTAAACAGCAACCTATCACTACCTGTACACTTCAATATACAACAAGACTGTGGACATTTTCTTGCTACCGTCCCTTCAAGTTTATTACGTCCACCAGATGCTCCCAGGGGCTGTCCAAGTGAGACCTCTCAGACTGCTGCCACATCAACTGAGGAAGACTGTGTTGTGGTTATTACACGAGAAGCGCCTTATTGTACAGCTGCAGATTTTGTTCGGGAATCTGTGCCCAGCCATAAAGCTCAGCCAGATATTTATGAACGCCAGGTTTGCCTTTTGTTACTACAACTCTGCAACGGTTTGGAGCATTTAAAGGAACATGCCATTATCCACCGAGACCTCTGCTTAGATAACCTGCTGCTTGTCCACTGTCAAACCACGCCTGATAAGATTAAAGATGGCAAGTATATTCCACGGCTTATTGTCAGCAACTTCTCCAAAGCAAAGCAGAGACCTGGATCTGAAGACTCCAAAGTCAAGAAGGATAAAACCAGGTTGGCACCTGAGATCATGGCTGCCTCCCAGTACAAAAAGTTTGATGAGTTCCAGACAGGGATTCTTATTTATGAACTTCTTCACCAGTCCAACCCATTCGAGGTCCGTACAAGTCTTCATGAGCATGAGTATAGCCAGAAGGACTTGCCACCTCTTAAAAACCTATCAGTTTATTCCCGTGGGCTACAGCATCTTGCTCACTTGTTGTTAGAAGCCGATCCAATCAAACGTATACGCATCTCAGAAGCCAAGCGTGTCCTTCAGTGTCTGTTGTGGGGACCAAGGAAAGACTTAACGGACCAGCCATTTAGCCACGAGGAGGCTTTGCATTGTGCCCTTCAGAACTGGATTGATATGAAGAGAGCTCTCCTGATGATGAAATTTGCAGAGCGTGCTTTGGAACCGCAGTATAACATTTCACTCGAAGACTGGCTGTGTTGCCAGTATTTGGCATCTGCTGATCCATGCTACCTTTATAAAACACTAAAACTTATTAAACTTATTACATAATGTGAACCAGATATTGGAGTCTGTCTGCAGTCTGGTTACAACAAGCTAGCTGTGGGTTGTAGAACACTTCATGTTGGACAGTTCGAGCAGTAGCTGTGTTTCTGTTTTATGCTGGATATGATATGAAAAAGCTGTGGGGTCTCTTGCTGTTTATCATGAGAAACATGCTGGGAATGTTCCATGTAGTATTTTGTTGGTTTTGAATGACAAGATATATTTGCTTGAGTTTAAGAGGAAAAAATAACTGGTGGGGGGCTAAACAACAAGTCGGAACACTGTTTTAAGCAATTTCTTTGCTGTTTGAACAAAGTATAGACACATTTATATGTATTGTTTTGTGCATGTTGGCTTGGGTTCCGCTACCATTTACAGTCATCACACATTTGCAGTCTTGAAGCAAACCCGTGATTAAAGTTTAAATGTACCATCGCCACAGGTGGCTAATGGCAAAAGCTGTCATGTACTTAACACCCAAACCTTTGCAAGTTATGCTTCCAATATATGTACCACTGTTTTCTCTCTGGCTCTCTGACTTGCCACCATACTTTCTATAGAACATATGTTATAAATAAGGACACAGAAGATGCTGGCATAATAAGCACTGAAATATTTAATTGACAGCCAAATCTTTTTACAATTTGCACTTTCCAAGTAAATATCCTGAGCTTTATCCCTATTTCATTGAACAAATTAAGTTGTTGTTCTACTGTATAGGCTTTGACACTCTTTAAAAGAGTTATCTGCCAAAATGTTAATATTAATAGGATTGAGGATTCACCTGTGCCTCTGTACCTTACACCTTGCACTGTAGAGTTGTTTGAACATTTGTCACTCTGTATTTCTTTTATACATAAGGTGCATAAAGAGGGGAATACCACTAAAATGATTAGAATGATCCTTGTGGATGGTCCGTACTTTGTATTCAGACAATAGGACAAAAACAAATAACTTTTTTATAAAAATAAACCTTATAAAAGGATTTCCAGGTATGGATAATTAATCGAGCATATATACTGTGCTGTGGCCGTGCTTTGAAAGACCTATTAGCATTGTACAAGTATATTTTCTTTATCTAAAAAGCTTTGAGATGTGTAAAGAGCCAACCTACTTTGGGTTAATTAGGTCTGAGAACATTCTCTTTCATCCAGGTCATGGTATATCTAAAATATGGTCATCTAACCCTTTTGGTAATCTTGCTTGTAGGAACCACAACTGCTTATCCATGTGAAAATGCAGGTCAGGTGTTCTTAATCCTGCCCACTGTCAGCTTCTTGATGGTCTTCATAAAGGGAGAGGAAGTTGCAATCATAAGGCTAGAAGCTCAGTTCCTGAAAAATGTATTGCCAGTTTGTATTTAGGCATTCAAGCGCCAGGAATTAGGTCTTTAATTTAGTGTGTGTCTGACCCAAAAACAATTAAATGGACAGAAAAGTTGGAGCTTCTTAAAATTTTTATTTTAGTTTTTTTGTGTAGTATGGAAGAGTTGGAACCCCCTGCCAAGTTTTTTATTTCTGCCTGTGTCCATGTTGGGGAGATGCCACCTTTGACAGTTCTTACCAGAATAGGTGTCACTCCTGTTTCAGTGACATCTATAAAATTTCCCCTCACCTTCTCTGCTGCTGACAATGATTGCTGGGACAGAAAGAGTGGACGAAAACACAACAATGAAAACCTGGTTCTGAGTCTTTTGCACTCTATCCAAAATTAGGGTAAACATTTTTGCTTGATGATCTTTTACATGGTAAAACTATTTTAAGATTAATAGTCTTGGAGGTTACACATTTAGGTGGCCCTGACACTGTTAGCCAAGAGGTTGCCTGTGAAAGAAGAGTGTATATACTTTACTAGGGATGTCCAGATACCAAGTACCGTACTCTGTACATGTACAGATACTTTTCCAGCTCCAAGACTAGACTAGAGAAAAATTCAAAAGTTAGGAGGCATACAGGGCTCCTGGGATTTGTGCATCCCTGTTTTAGGCCCCATTCACACTGAGCGACATGAAAATCGCACAATTTTGAGCGATATTGCGCGACGAGCGATATTGAGCGACTTGTCCCTATTGGGCTGTATGCAATCAGGAGCAATATCGCTCGAAATCGCTCAAAAAAAGGGTCATGTAGGAGCGACAAGCTACCAGCGACGAGCTACAAGCGATATTGAGCGACGAGATGTGAACAGCTCCATTGAAATGGATTGGAGACGCTACATAGAGCGATATCGCTGCAAAAATCGCTCGATAAATCGCTCAGTGTGAATGGGGCCTTAGTGTATGGGTTTTTTTTTGTACAAATTTATATAAGGGATGCACCAATACCATTTTTCCAAGTACAAGTACTGCTACTTGTCCAAGTACTCACAGGTACAAGTACTGATACATTTTTGTTTAGTGTCATGTGACAGTTTTTCTAAAACAATACAGACTAATTATTTCAAGACAGTGGTGGAGCGCCAGAGCCAGGTCCCAGCTGCAATCCTGGTAGTTCTCATGAAAATGCCAAGTATCAGCACTGGTATCTGAACATCCCTATTACTTACCTTTCTGGCAACCCATGCATTGAAAAGCTGCCACATTTTTGCTCCTTTCCCACTGCAAGTATTCTACACAGCCATTGTGGTTCTTCCTGTCTGCTTGTAAGTAACTAGAGGATGTGCGAGCTGGTGGCAGGAACCACGGTGGCTTACAGCTGGAACATGTATTTGAATCATCCAATACTTGCAGCAGCTGGATAATGGAAATTAGATGGCTTTTCAATACCCAAGCCATCGGAAAGGTAAGTATATAAATGCATCTTTTACAGGTGATATTTTAGCAAAAAGTTACCCTGTGGTAGATTTCACTTGTTGTCCAACGTCTCTCTTTGCATTATGAACAACTGATTTAACTCCGTCTTTATTTGTCCATTTTAGTGCATTGGCAGCTCATTCATGCGAATGGGGTGCCCGAATGCAACTCACATTGAGGGGGGTTCATCAAAATTGGAGCAGATAGAATCTGGAGCAGTTGCCCATGGCAACCAATCATTTTTCTCTTTTTAGTTTGTACAGTTAAAATTTAAAAGTGAAAATGTGAAGCTGATTGGTTGCCATGCAAAGCTGCTCCAGATTTTCTCTGCTCCAGTTTTGATAAATCCCTCTTATGTGTGACACAATGCTTGGTAATGCAATGCACAAGAAATGCATAACTGAAACACATTTTTCAGTAAATATATTTCTTAACTCTATAAACACTCGCCACATTTGCCTCCGGCTATACAAATGTACACGTGAAATTAGATTTAAAGACAACCTGTTGGGTCAACTCTTATCTTTTGCATTCAATGCTGAAGGATGCCAGTATAATGAAGGCAGTGCAAGTTCCAGAGCCGGCATGTGTGTGATGCTGCAAAGGCCCTAGCAGATCTAGGTTGGCCATCCATTGGTTGGCAGCAAAATTCACTGGAAGTCTCAACTGTGACATCCCAGCAGATTCTCTTTAATTGCTGTGAGGAAGAATGGTTCCTTACCGAGCCTAGTAAATATATTTTTGAATATATACATAAGTAGCCAGGGTAGCTGCTTTTTAACTTTTAGCGAATATGTCAGATGCTAAAAGTAGTAATCTAACTCACTGTTGTAGTTATGCAGATTTCTTGTATTATATTTGTACAACTGTTTGTAAATACAATTATCTGTTAAGTTTTTGTCATGGGAGCCTTATCAAGTTGCAGTGCAATGGGTTGGTAGCTTCAAAGGCAATTAAAACTGGTTGTTTACAAATTACTTCTACTTACACACCTTTTTCCTACTTTTGGAAAAGATGTTTAAAATGACAGTTTCTGGCACTGCTTGTGTTTTGTACTTTTATGTGCCAATTGTTCAAAAATAGAACTGAAAATAAACATTTTTTGAAATCCTAAACTCCTAGTTTTGTCACTTGCTTTCTGATTACAATTTTTTTTTTCTACAGTATGATTTATCATTCACTAGTAATTATACTGAGCCAGCCCAATTTAGCCACCAAATCCACCAGTGTTCTGCCGCAGTGCCGGTGCATCTCCTACTTCCCACTCTCTGTGCACATGCAGTAGAACCCCATAGACGTCTATGCAGCCAAATGTCTCTATGGGCTTCTATGGCACATGTATAAGAAGCAAGACTTTCTATATTGGGAGCTAATTGCCATGCTGCAGACTGGAGGAGATAAGAAACATTGTCAGTACATGCCAGGTTCAAAATGTAGTGTAGAGTTAAAATGCTACCAGGCACATGTGCAGTGGTGATGTGGTATGCACTGATGGGGCCACAAAGAAGAAGGTCATGTCCCAGTGTGTCACCTGCTGTAGGGATCACGCTGCATGTGCTTCCTGCTGGGTGTGGCATTTGTGGTAGCATCAGTGTTTAAATGTAGACCAGCACCATACCCAGCAGGGGAAACACATCTAGAGTGGGCTTTGCAGCAGGTGAGTTGGTGTTGCAATGGTCTAATAATGTCTGGCCGTTGGTTTACATCACTTCCCTACCCCTGGCTTCTGCTGCAGCTTACACGGGTACTGTATTCCCCAACTCACTCCACCCCGTTGCCTGATCTCTACTGTTGGCTGGGAGGACTGAATCTGGAGTTAAGCTCACAGCTCCTTGTGGAGGCTCCACTCACCACCATGCCTACAACCAACCTCCTCACCACCACTGCGCAAGTACCCCACCATCACCGTTCTGCCTGAACTCTCATTTCACCACCATGCCTGAAGTCTCCCCACCACTGTGCCTTTAATGACACCCCAATTCCCCACACCATACCTGCACACTGAACCTTCACTGTCACCACTGAGAATCCACCCCCCCCTCTCACCACCTTTCATGCCCCCAACTTGTTCACCACTGCAGCAGCGCCTGCCTCGGCACTCACCACTAAGTGCACTTCTGTGCTCTACGCAACTACAGTGGCCTGCCCTTCCTTTCTAGCCCGTTTAATAAAAGGGCAACATTTGCCTATACACTTTAACATGACTTATTATTATGTTATTATTATACAGGATTTATATAGCGCCAACAGTTTAAAGAAGACAGTACAGTTACAATAGAAATCAAGAC